AGGAACGATGCGACAATGGAACGCTTCACGTGCCTGAGGGGGCTGCGCTCGTGCAATTTCTGCATATTGCTTATTGCCTCTGTTGCCACAGAACAGTGTTAAGAATCCTTTGCTTGATTTCCCGGAAGCTGAAGATCATTCTTGTGTTTGGTTGACTTTTTCAATCGTATTTTCCATCATCAGGAGGCCCGTAGTTACAGGATGAATCTTGTACAAGGAAGGCATGCACACTTTGTGCCCTTGTATGTGGGCGTATGTTGTGTTTGATGTCTGCAGACCTATATCTATGATATTCGTAACGGTGCGAATTTGGTTAACGCGGAGTATCGGGAGTGAGTTTGTCTAGAACGGTGGCATCACCTTCGCATTGAACAATTAATTGTGTGTGCGGCATATTCTGACTGATTCAGCTGAGTGACTTGTTGAAGATGCAGGCCACGTAGGCAGGTGCAGCAACACTCATGGGGCTTATACCCATGGGTTTGAAAAGCTGCCCTGAAATTGATTTCTCATAGATGGGCTTACCCGCACGTGTTACCAGCAGAGACGGTGATTCGTAGCTTATTTGCACGGCGCAACCTGTACATTGACAGGGCCCCTGTCTTTGAGAGCTTGTCTGATATATTTCGCAGTCAAATTTTGAAGTACCAAATAAGGGTGGTGCGGTGTTTCCCCAACGGCCAGGGGTTTGCTGCTTCATCAATTGAAGGCCGCGTTTCTTGGGAGTACTTCGACCCTGTAAGGAGCTTACACGCCACAGAGAGATGTTACACACCGTGGTGTATGCATTCAACTCCGTAAGAGTAGCTTCTTTCAGCTCGGACGTTGAATCTTTTGAAGAATTTCCTGCCATGACGTTGAGGGATTTGTTCTTGTCCTTCGTTTCTTTTTTTGTGCTTTTCTCTGTTGTCACTTGAAGAATTGCAACAGAACACTTCGTTGGCTAGAAGTTTTAATTTCATTCATGTCCACCAGACTTAATTACATGGGAAGTTTACATTGTTTTCTGCATGAAGTTCCCGTACAAACTAGCGTACTGCTGTTCTCCGTCTGATGCGTGCCACTTGCTTTTCAGAACCCTGAGGTGCAGTCTCGGAAGTATGCCTTCAAGTGCCACAGAATCAAAGGTAAGGCTTCAAAACACGATATTCAGAGGCGGTGGCTGGGAACATCAGCAGAGGTACTGTGCGTGTTTGCGATGCAACGTGGTCATGCAAACTGTGCATTGCTGTGTTCGAACTTTATGCATTGATGGACGTTTTGCACAGCGAACGTTGCCTGTTTTTTGATTGCAAGAAAATGTGTCTATTTCCGATGGAATGTGATCCTGTAGCTTTTGCACATTTGTGCTAAAATTTTATAAGCTGGAGAGCATTTTGCCTAAAGAACATTGTGCCTCTCCCAATTAGTCCCGCTTCCCTTACAATGAGACGCTCCAGCATTTTTCCGCATTCCTACAAGTGTGCGTTCTGCTTCTGCCTACTTTGGCAGCTAGAGGAAAGTAGCGTATTGCGAGTGGCCATTGTGCATTGTGCAGAAGCAGATGGCTCGGAAACAGCCTGCCCCGTAAACGCGATCGTCTTCCACCCTCGGTGAGAGCCACCCATTCCCAGGTTCAGTAGCTGGAGCGCTGCGAGCTGGAGCCTACATGCAGATTTGAATTCTGTGTGATAGCAATGCTGTTGATGAGAACGTGCCATAAGTGCTGTAAGGGTTTGTGTTGTGTTGCCAGTAGGATGGCGGTGAGTGCGCTTGTGCTGGGCACATGCTGCGAAGGACAGTGATGCCTCATCCTCAGCACACCAGCTCCACGGTTGCATAGTGGAATGGTAAATGGCTCTTCACACTTATTCGGGAGTTTAATTCCTTTTTTTTGGTGGCTTTGCGCATTTGCAGCTATGGAACTTTTGCCACAGGAGGTTCTGATGGCGGCGTGTCAATATGGGATGGATTGAGCAAAAAGAGGCTGTGCAGGGTTCCTCCGCTGCCTACAAGGTAAGTTGTGCCCGTTTAGAACTATGAGTACACCAGGACTATAAACCAGATGTTTGAATTCAAGATCTTCACGGCGTAAGTTCCTTTTCACGTTGCCGGCTGTCACGGTTGCTGTGCAGCGTTTCGAGTTTGGCTTTTAATTCCAGCGGCACTCTTCTCGCAATGGCGGTTTCGTACATGTTTGAACGGGGCCCTCAGCCGGGGCAGCCGAAGCCGCAGATAATCGTGCGCGCCGTAAGGGAAGAAGATGTGCGCCCCAAGACCTGAGATATGCGATATCAGAAGTAGAGCCAACAGTGGCCAAATATAATTGTTTGCAATTTCCAAAACTGGCCGAAAGCTGCGTCACTGAATGTGGAGGCTTCGGCTTTAAAGCGAACAAGACATGCCAGGGCTGACACAGTCAGTCCGTGGAGGGACTGATGCCGCCAGCCGCGGCAACGTCTTGCTCGTTCGAACGTGGGACGTTTTGTGGTTGTGGGACAACTTGAAATCGGGGCCCCTTTTTTGTAGCGTAGACCCGCTGTTAGAAGTGCTGTGCGTCCTGCTGAATGACTGCTTTAAATTGTGTGAAGTAAGGCCCGCACATAGTGTAATATGCGTTGATTATTTCATTCGGCCTTCTAGGGTGGTGTCATTTATGAAGAGCACGCTTGGCTAATATGGCTTGCCAGTCTGCGTGACTGTGTATGCGTTCATAATTGGCCATCCGGACGCGCGTTGGTCCTTATGCACCAGCGCAGTTTGGATTGGTGCTTAAAACTATCCAGTCACAACTGTGGTGAAGAGCGCTTGGCTTGGCATTTTTCCATATTCAGTAAGATTGGCTGCTTGAAATTTGCCGTTTCATCACGCGTTTCTCATCAACGGTTTTGCAGCAACCACGTCAAACAGGATTTGGTATCGCAGCTCCTTATTCGTGGCCTTTTTAGAAGTTAGGCCTGATCGGCGTCTGCTTTGAATGGGATCCTGTACAGTACAGCAGTTCACTTTGGCACGCGCAGTTGCTCTGTATTTTAGCAGCAAACTGGTGGACGTTTTAAAATTAGTGCGCTGCACAGTCTAAACTATCGATTATCGCGTTGAAATTGCCCGAGTGGCCGTTCAGGGGAACAGCTCGTTACGGATAACCAGTGATGCGATTTTGGCGATGGGTTACTGTAAAGAACAAGCCCTTCACGAAAAGATTGGAGCGGCAAATTAACTTCAGGGCATAGATGAATACTTAGTGGAGTGTCTGCGCTTCTCTATGGTTTAGCGCAGCAAACCAAAGCTGTCCGAATAGGCTCATCAAAAAATAGCTTCCTTTGCGCTGCAGAAGCAGTTGTGCAGTTAGGTTCATCAAGAAAGAGCAACGAGATAAAACATGAGGGAGAGGCACACAAGGTGGAGGTACTGCAAGGCATGTCCTGTTGTGCAGGCGTCGCCACGTTTTGAGCAATTCTGGCGCCCCTTTTGAGTTGTTGCTGGCAGGCTGTGTTTTGTGTATTACGGACACGGTAGCGCAGATTGCTTTTGAGTTCGCAGTTGCATTAATTGCGTGATTTAAGGTAGGGGACAATCCGGACACAGTTCATAGCATCAACGTGCCAACGGAGCTCTTCACCACCCGTCGGAAATTCAGCAATTGAGAGTCTTCCCCCCTTGCTTTCGTCTGCGGGAGGCAGCTGTCTGTCCAGCTTGAGGGCTCAGAGTGTCACAGTTAATGCAGAAACGACGCCAGGCAGGCCGTATCCTGCAGCGACGACGAAAACTAACAGCAAAGGCATCAAGTCGAGATGAGTCCAAGCTGCGCCATAGTGTGGAAGAGCCTGCAACAAGTCGGCGAAGTTAACCACAAAATGTACAGCGTGAGCGCAACGCTGCTGCGTGCATTTGTCAGGGAATATTGGAAGCGCATGCCGAGAGCCTGCCGAGTTCTTAAGCTTATGTTAGGCTGCTTACTAAACCTATAGGTTGTTGGCCTATTGGACATAACAGGCTCTTGGCCTAAAGGAGCAGTTACCTTGTTTGAAGATTTTAGGTCTGGTTCTAACGTCCTACAGAAAATGTAACTGGTGAGGTTAGCAGAAACAAAAATAATTAGCGGACGCCTCAGGAGGAAAATATTGTCAACAGTTGCTCTTAACTGCACAAGCTTACATGCAGCATCTAATCAACAAAATATACCAGCGACTGCTTTAAGATGCCAATGTATATTCAATCTGCTGAGGAAGCCGGAATACGCTGAGCAGACAAACGGGAACCAACAGGAGATATGGAAAGGCCGATCCACTGTACTCAAGTGGCACAGTGGCAGGCTCGCTATGGCTTTTCCGCGTACCGACCGAAGCAACTCAACAAACAGCGCCCCAAGTTACAGACTGTGCACAGCGTAAAACTCAAGCGTTCGCCAAACCATTCTATGAACGAAGGGGGAACAGCCTGAGCCTCACGTTGCCTGCTCTCTAGACAACGCCAGTATGCCTCGCCTTTTCGTCGCCCCAATCTTTGTGTTGGGCCATAGCATAGCTCAGGCAGCCAGTAAATTTTTAACGACTGTGACCTCTAGTTGCAGTGACCTAGCTTGAAGGCCTTCTCCGTAGTACCAGTACGGAAAAACACATTCAACTAGACGCATTTAGGCTCTTTTCGCCAAAATATGTGCTCGAGACTGACTTAGCCCCTCCTGTTAAGGGCATTTCGCTCGCGGGAGGCGCCAGGTCAGTCTCGACCAGATATTACGATGGTTCTCCAGTGCCCTCAAAGAAGTGCAAATACCGTGAATCACCACTGGCCTCAAATGTTCTATGTATGAATGTTTTCCCAAAACATTTTATCTTCTGGTCAAGATGTCTCCTCTGAAGTCAGGGAAACAGGATATCTCAACTGCCAAAGCTTGTCCTTTCAAAGAGTTCTTGCAGCTATCTTCAAACATCAAGACATCGGTGCTGTCGTCTCTGCGCCATACTGGACGAAGCTGCAACTGCGCTGTTGGCAGAAGCTTAGCCTACCTCCTGTCTTGTCTACCTAACAAAGCATGGCGACAGTGAATCTGTGGTCATCAGGAGGCAGCCACAAGGCCCAGCGACAATGTCGCGTATCCGGACCTTTCCCGTGTCATCTTCCTGCTCTGATTTCTGGGTAGGCAGGGCTGCATTGACCACCTGTGGTATATGGCCATACGCTGGGCCGACACCGAGGGGCAGCATTGAAGCCCCTGGTCCCCAAAAAAATGCCTCTCCCTTTCCTGCCCGCACAAGGGTACACAGTGCACTTTTACTGCAATGCGAACTGCAAGAATGCATCAAGCGAGCAGCAGCAGGCATGCGCAGCGTGTTTTGAAATAAACCTAGCGCCCCTCGACGAAGAATCTGTAACGCTTGACCGCCCCTTGCTATTGTGTGTTTTATTTGTGAAACCAAGGCGAACGTGCAAAGGGTCCTTCTTCTGCTCACCTGTAAGGGCAACAGAGAAAGAGGTTGAGCTTGAAAACCCCCCAGCAGCAACTTTCATCACGCAGTCTTTAAAGAGGCTCTGAACCCCACACGGAAAGAGCGCAACGTAGCAGAGAAACATTACAGTGACTCAAAAAACGTTACATACTGGTACTTCTGACTTTGCTTTCAACGCGTTTGTACAAGAGACTGAAAGCCCATAAATAACAGCTCTGCCATTCAGCATGCGATCTATCAGTAACATGGAGCCATGCCCCAGAGCAGTTGAAAGCTCTCCCAACCCTCTTGATCGACTGCACTGTGGTTGATCGATTTCACTATACTTACCTCTGGGTAACTCCAGTGCAAGTCAACAGGGTGAGGGGACTCCGCACTACTCCCTCCCCACTCGTATACCATCCCGTTTTCTAAAGTAACTCACAATGAATTCAATGTTATGCACAATCAGTACGTATTTGATATTTGATAACATCTTCTCGTCTGCTACAGAAGAATCTTTGGTGGAGGAGCTTACTCGCAAGAGCAACGGTATGGTTAGGGCCCAAAGCACAACTACCTAGCGGCACATCTGAACGCGTAAAGAAATCCACTAACAGCGGGTAGTTAGACTCCCCTCCCGATGCCATCACCTGCAGCACACAAAAGGGGAGAAAGGAAAGCAAACGTGCACTATGCTTGCTATTCTGGAGCCTCTCCAGCGGGGCACGGATGCTGTTTCACGTTCCATGCATATTAGGCCTCAAAGGCGAGTACAGAGACAAAGACATACTGACTTCTCCTTGCTAAGCTGTAGACAGTCGTTTCGTCCCCACATCCAAAGAACTCCCTCAGGGGTCAACAAACCGCAGTGCTCCGCACCACACATCACCTTTGGGAGCCCCAAGTGGCCAGTCACCGAGTAAGCCCGACAGCGTGTACTGTTTTTGCAAGTAGAGTCCTCTGGAGCCTCCTGAAGAGCATCAAAAGGCCTCATCGGGAGGTGAGACAGGTTGACTCCCTCCTGATCGAAGCGTTCCCTGAACGCTTCAAGTTCCCTCAGCTGCCCCTCTTCAACGAGACGCTGGGCCTCAAGAAGCTTTGGGGAGAGTAATCCCCTAAAGAACTCCAGCTCCCGAAAGACTTTGCTGCTGATGAGCATTCCACTGCCATTTACTCCGTAGTCTGCCGCCCCAGAACTGAACACTCGGCCCGAACCTGAATACCGCAGCAGTAACGTACGACAGCTGACCTGTAGCAGAGGCAGCTGCTTGGCTTCTTGACGCAAACTCTGCTGGAACTTCTCAGTGGTTGTCAACAAAATAGCGTAAGTTTGATACAGGCTCAGAAGACGGACTGTACAGCAAAACAGCAGGTAAACAAAGACGCTTACTTGTAGCTACGCATGTGGTAGTAGCCCCACATGCCACGTCCACCACAAACTCTCCAGCCCTAACAAACTGAGTGGCACAGGGAAAGCAAGATACAGGCAAAACTGGTCCTACCAGGACCGCTGACGAGACTAGAAGATGCACTTTCTCTACACGGACAGCGATAGCTGAAAAAACTCCCAAGGCATTGCAGCAACGAACCTGGCCTACTGGTGTTGGCCGAGACCGGTTCTTTCTATCTCCTTGCCCTAAAGGACTTCCAGCACCCCACGTGCCACCTCTTCCCCATGTGTATAAGATCCCGTGTGACGATAATGCAGCAAAATGGTGCTTCCCGGCAGCCACCTTGACAAATCGGACATGCGTGTCTCTTTCGAAATGCATGGGAAAGCCATCAGCTGCCGCATTTGTCAGCGCCAAATTAATGCCCAGTTCCTCGCTCAGACCACAATGTCGATTAAAGTCGTTGACCGAGATGCCTCCCGCTTCCACGGGCTCTGGTGTAATATCACGTAGCGCCAAGGGCTCTGGCTGATCCTCTTGAAAGCTTGCTAAACTCAGTGAGGCCCCGAAGAGGTTGCCGTCCGACAGGGCCAGCACATTTGCGGTCCCAAGGGCCAAACTCACTGTCTCTGGGCAGCAAGGTAGCACTACCTCCTGCAATGAGCCGCCCATTCCATGTTCACCTCCCTTAAACAGTCTCGTCCAAATTGTACGGCTTTCTGGGAGCCTTGCAAGCCACAGGCGTGCTGATGCAGTGTGGGTGGTGGTGAACCAACGAGCGTGACGGCCCAACTTTTCAGAAAGACGACCAGACTTGTTGACCAAAAGTATATTTGCTCCACTCCGGCATGCTGATGATCTGTTGCATACTGATGAGCTTGCAGGAAAGCCCTTAGGAAGCTCCTGGAAAACTCCCCTGACGCAACGCTGGTGCGGCGCTGTATCGTATGATTTTTTTTGCCAGGTGTGACTAAGTAGGTATTTTGACTTCAAACATATGCTGGAGAAAGCAAGATGAGAAGGAAGCTCGTGAGCTGTCGAACAAAGCCTCAGTAAGCCTCGTTCGCTGACTCTGCCACAACGACTTCGAGCAGTGTGCGCGGATAATCTCACAGGCCGTACGCAGCTGGCTCCCCAGAAACGGCGCTCCAAAGTACTCTGTGTGAATGGATATAGCTCCAAAGAGAACATCTTCTTTAACTGCGCATGCCTAACCGCCGCAGTGTTGTGGTGGGGAACGCAAACCACTAATGTGTACAGCACCCCTGTACCTTCACTATTGAACACATCATCGAGTATAGTAAGTCTCTTCTCAGCCCTACGATAGGCTTTGATCAAAGTTCTTGTCAAGACTCACACGTGGAAGAATGGAACGCAGCGTTACAGATGTCCATACAGAAGAGACATGGGAGCTGAGGCCTTGTGGAGACACGAAGCTTGTCTGTCAAGAAAGGAGAGAGCACCTACACCCAGCGACCTACACGGCAAATCCAAAGAAGCTGTAATAGAATAGGAAGTAACAGTTAGAGCAATGTTTGCCGGCAGCATCCAAAGAACGGGATTTCTCCCTTGATTGAACACCACGGGGTCACGAGAGGGTGCGATGACTCACACGAAAGATACTGGAATGCATACCCCTGTGTAGTTGTTTAAAGTTGTTTTCCGAAGAAGAAAACGCCAAAGAAGAGAAGAGAGGAGTGGACAGGAAGGCGGAGGCCTACACAGAACGTCCACGGAAGCAGCGGCCGGGGCCCTCTTTGGCTAGACTCAGAAACCGGCTGTTGAGAAATGAGTATTTTGTGAATCTTGTGCTATAATTGCTTGCTTCTCCGCTCTCTGAAATTAACCCTTTTGCTTGTAGATGGCTCGAAGGCACTGGAAGCGGAGCCTCAAGGACCGTAACCTTCGCCCTTTGTCTGGGCGGTCGAGTCCTTCGTGTTGAGTCTTGGCAGTCTCTAAGTGTAGTATCCCTGCGACTTCTCGGCTTCTTCTTTGGATTTTCCCGAAGAAATGTACATGCGGTGCTTGTATACACACCGTCTGATGTTTTATCTAGCGGTGTCATCTCATTCACTGCTTCCCACGTTTTCTTTGGCGGGCTAGACCACCGGAATCCGACTGCAGCTGTAAAGGTCGTATAATCTTTTACACGTTATATCGGATATTATTTGATTCCAGTAAGGGGATCTGTAGGCCTACACGGCCTCAAAGCCTAGCACTAGCGATTGACGATTCTCAACTCCTCCGGCGTAGCGGTCCACCGTGAAATAAGTAATTTTCGAAGTACAAACAGCGTGTGATATCGCCCGGTGTAAAACAGCAAATGATAAAGTGCGACTAGGACTAAGGTGAGGTGACTGTCTAGAGCAGCGCCTGGCCTCTTACCACTAACTCTCTGGACGGCTTTTGAAGAAGAAGGGAGAAGCACAGTACTTCGTTAGCCCCTCAGCTGCACGTTACGCGGCTGGCACTGTTTTTGTCGGACAACTGCCGTTTTTAAGGCACAATTTCTCAGCTGCTTGCTCCCCTTATTGCTTGGATTGGATTCTGACCCGTTGAAAAAGATCTTGGGTCTCCACAAAGATGGAGGCACTGGGGGGACGAAAGGTTTTTGACGGACAGAGCCAGCAAGCGGATCAGGTACAACGACGAGAGATGGGAAAAATGCGCTCTGGGGAGCTTTATGCCGCCCCCATAACCAGGTCATTCTGGCAGGAAGCTAACGAGATTCGGGCGCGTATTGAAGGCAAGCCGCGGTTTCATCCTGCAGCTGTGGTCATGCGTTTACATGTCTAAAGATGCATATTCTCAGGGGAATTGGAATAGCTGGTCAGACTATTTAGAGACAGTTCACGGCGTGCACGTGACAGATTTCTTGAATCACGACTGCTGCGGTGGTGTGTGCACAGCCTGCCCAGTACACATGAGCAACGTGACGGCCTTCACGTCTGCTCTGGCAGCGAATGTCTGCGTTGCCGTGGATTCTTCAATGGCGTTTTGCTTCGTGAAAGATGTTGAGACGGAGCAGCTCTTGGGGGCTTATGCGTCACGTCATTGCTGTTTTCCACATCCGGATTGTTCTCCATCTGAAACGCAAAATAGCAGCTGCGAATGCTCACATGCTACCTCTCAGGCCAGGATGGCCTCATGTGTGCAAAGGTCACAGATGTGCACTTGTCCTGAAGATACCGCACACCAGCGAAACTGCTGCAGTTTCCTCACCAGAGAGCCCGGTGAGGCTCCGGTTGTCCCCAAGCTGTCTATCTACCACGCAGCTGCGAACAGTGAACACAAGCATAGAAGGTTCACTGAGGGTACCTTCGTAAGAGCACCTCAGTATTGAACACAACTTTTTGGCAGTCATTGTTGTTATTCGTCTGCATGTGACGCCTGTAGAGACTCGACTCTACCTAACAGTCTTGCCTTTTTCACGTTCGTATGAGCTTGGAACATTTTCTTAGCTCTTTTTGTGGATTCTGTTGGCGCGACGCAGGAAAGTGCCATATGAGCGGCGGAACTGTTCATAGTGGAGGGCCTTCCTTGTCGGGCCTTAGCCCACAAGCCTCATCCTTCTTTTCTGCTCTGCTTGCCCAAGATGCCAGAGCAAGTAACTCTTGTTTGTCTCATGAAGAGCAGCAGCAAGAGCAAGGTGCAGCGTCACGAGACTTGCCTTCCAATTCAGCATGCAGTATGTTGCAACAGCAACAGACCGTCAAGGAGGCCTCTGAGAGTCCTTTCAATGCGGGGCAGAACAGGCATCAGGAGAACACTTTAGCTGACACGCTGCGGGAACAAGGTGGTGAAGTTGCTGGAGCTGTAACTATCTCAGCGCCGCCAGAGTTTATTGTGGTTTCTGCCGAAAGCTTCGTGCAGTATCTGATTAACGATCTCAGGAAGGGCTGCCGGGTGAGTTCGACGCAGTTTCAGTACAGTACAAAGCGGGAGCTCTGTACTGTACTGTGCGCTCCCCGTTTGCTGCATTTCCCTCTTTTTTGTGTCAATTTTTACTATCAGGGAGTGGTTGAATGCAGTGAACGATTAGGTTGTCTTTGCATTTATAACGGACCATAAGGGGATTCTGCTGCAGCTATGCGGGGATGTGGTTGAGGCATAAAGTGAACTTGCCGTATGTGCATAACCCACTTTCAGGCGTACTGCTACGAGCCAACAACGCAGCAACTGTTTCCTTTTCTAGGGAAAGAACAGCCTGAGACAAACCTGACTGGAGGGCATCAGTGAGTCTCCACTGAATACGGATCTCCCGTGGCGTGCCGAGCATATAGTTAGTGTTGCACTTTTGCTTCACTTTCCTCCATTAGCGGGCATACAGTATTGCCCTTCAAAAGCAGACTGTCAAGCCCACTGCTGGATGCATTGCTTACTTTGCATTGTCTCTGCAGGGAGTCGTTATCTCTGAGGGAGGCGGAGAGATTTCTTGTTGCTTGCCGTATTGAAGATGAAGGAGCACGCAATGCATGCAGAACCATGGCGGAGGCCCGTGTAGCTTATGTGGGGCCATCCTGTAAAAGAAAGCCTTCTCCACCCACTGTTTTGTCTCATCAAGATGCCTGGTCAGAGGGGCCGGTGCATGCAGCTCGGCGGGCATCCTCCGAGTCGGTAGAAAACGCGGTCGGCGTTTCAAAGACTACCTCGCCTCCATCACAGCCACCTGGCGGAACGAAGAAGACTCATACCAGTCGAAGGCCTAGTGGCATACAGGATGTTATCCCTGTACTGTATTCTGCTACGCTGGAACGGCCAACTGCAGGGGTGGACGAGGACGCGGCACCACGATGCCAAGCAACTCCAAGCAGCAGCCTTGCGGCGGAACATGATCACTCACCTGTCCCGTCAAGCCCACGCAGGGCCCTAAGCACTGATATTGTAGGAATCATGACTAAATTTGACTGCACAACGGAAAGAGCTTCAGGCTCAAGGATGTCTTTATATTCGCACGGCTGCGTGTGCAGTACACAATAAATCAGTGGTTCAAGAATTCCCGTTACGCGTTGTTCTGTTAAATAGTTGCCTTAAAAGTGAATTAAATTCAGGAACGGAGTAGGTGTGGCATATTTGGTTTGCGCAGATGCGCCTGATAGCTCAGCCAGAACTCCGTCAATCTATACCTTCTGCGAGGTCAGTCTTAGCGCCTCTGACGCACACACCGCTCAGTGAGCTACCTTCTGTGGATGACAGTGTAAGCGAAACTTCACTTTCAGCGAGGACATTGCATTCCTTACACTCGAACACGACCCTTGGAATTATCTTTTCCGTCGACGTCAAAAGAGTTGATGCACAGCTATTGTTGGAGGCAGTGGCTCAAGTGTGCGCGCCGACAATGGCGCTCTTGCTTCAGCAGCAGTGGCTTCGCAGAGACAGATTTAAGCGGTTGCTTCAGCTGGAGCTTCACCGCACAGTTTTCCAGGTAGGCATGGCTCGCAATTGGCATTTCCGTAGGATTCGAGCTACGTTCCCACAGTGTGCCTCTGCGGAGATCTTCACGGACGTGACTACCATGTCTTTCCTATATTCTGAGTTGTTTATGGAGAACCTCCAACTGCTTTGGCTGATCAACTGTGCTGTTCGATCTCGACAGATTCTGCTTCGTAGTGGGACGTAATGGTTTCACCTTGCGATGCTTTCTCAGGAAACCTCCATACCCATTAGAATGA